TGAATTCGTGCGTCCGTGCGTGCGTGCGTGCGTGTGTGATGGGGGCAGTAGAGTGCAAGCTACAGATACACATATTATAATTTAAGAGAATTGTTTATCTTTTCAAGAATGCGTCTGAAGGTACGTTAAGCTTTCTTGGGTCGATTTTAAGTTATTAGAACGTCATCTACAAGTATTATTTTATTCTTTATTGAACCTTACAGAATGGTTAGGAACAAAAGGCAGACTTAAAGCTAAAAGCATGCTCTGCCAGTCATGCTTCTCGGGCGGTGATAAAACATAAAAGGCGGTTACAAGACAATGATTGATAAAAATACACTTCAAACTCACTATTGATAACACTAAATACTTGTAAAATACGAGTATAATACAATAAAAATACTGTTACTATGAGTATGTTCTTTTATAAATATTGTTAAAGCAGATGTGCATTTAGACAGGTTACCGTTACCGTTACAGCATATTAAAGTCCACTGCTAAACATATTTAAGTCGTTATAAGGAAGACGCTGCTCCCCATCTCCAAATTTGTTTCCCTCTGCCTCCTCTTATAGGGGTAGCGGATACTCTTACCCGCCACTTTATTTAGATTAAAGATAATCAAAGATTTCTCATACTAAAATATTTAAATTTTTTGGATAAAATTTAGCCTAGATCATTTCTGGCTTTGCTCCAGCCATTCCAAAGATCAAAAAGAGCGGATAGACAGAATAAAGATTTAAAAATGGTTAATTATGTCTTGATAACATGCAATTGTTTTTTATAGAATTAAGGCGCAAACAAGCATAAAGTCCACCTGATGGTAAGTGGATACTGTGGCCCCCAGACATCTTCATCTACCCAGGCGAAGCCAGGACGGATCACTAGGAAATAACATAAACCATAATTTTACCATAAGATGTTATACTTAGTCATTTTAATTATTATTCAGACTTAACTATGTCTAATTAAAAAATCGACCGGCATCTGCAGGTTCAAATCAAATACACTAGACATGTGTAATTCGTGGATGATTCGTTCATTTAACCCGGGTCGCATCAAAATATTGATGATTGCGATGACATTTTTAACGTTCCGTATCAGACGATTGATGGGACCTACAATGAAAGAGTATAGTAATGTTCGACAACCGATATTATTAAGTTGAACTTACAGGTCACAGAGTACTGAAACTCGATCCTTTTGAATTATGACCCGAATGAGCCGATTCATATGCCGAATCAATACTTGAACGATGGGGTCACTAAAAATAAATCATTCATTCATACATATCTAGATCACACCTAAGCCTAACAAATCGCAATGCTACACCTTGTTATATATTTAACCGGCCAAATCTAGTTATAACCGCACTTCGACCTTTAGGCGTGACAAACGTCTAAATATAATGAATTATCGAAATCTATCCTTGTTTTTAAAAAAAAAAAAAACTCCATCTGTTTGTCTGTCCTAGCTAATCATTGGAATGGCTGAACCGAACGTAAAGAAAACCAAAGTTTTTTTTACCAAAAGATCTTCTATTTTAAATCGAAACAACGCTACAGAAAAAAAATAAACACGCCGAGATGGGTCACTAGTAATGAATCCAAATATAAATATTCAGTACAAAATATGAGTTGTTACTCGATATAATTCAGTGAAAGCTGTTGATTAAGTGCATTACGGTACATTTTATTTGTTGAATCCTCGATTTCATTAGTAAGGGCATTTCAGAGAAATGTAGCCTATATTTTTCTACCGTGAAATAGGAGCTGCAAAACAGAGTACTGCCTCGGAATATTAATTTTCAGATGGTTTACCGTGATACTCGTGAAAAGTGGAATAGAAGAAATTTCTTAGGTTATTTAGAAATATAGTTCGACTTTAAATTTTGTCGGATCCAGTTCTCTTTTACATGAGATTGCAAATGAAGTTTTCTCTTTCTTTAAATAAAAAAAGAAATAATGAAATTGATTTACTGACCTCACATCTATCGTATTACATGCATTATAAAATTAATAGGGCCTTAATTCTTCCATACCAGTATGTTTTAGCACCAACTTCGACATATAAATAATTAAAGATATATTTAATATAAATATTCTAGAAGAAAATGTTTCTTTCATTTCTTTTAGTTATTTGAAGGCGGTTTTTACTTTCTTTTACCTCAATATTTATAAAGAATTACATTAAAATCTTCATTCTTAATTTATCACACCTATGGGTATAATTCATTCACCAGCTCTGAAGTAAAACCAATTTAATAGAAAAGAATCATCAATATCGCGTAACATACCTATCAAAAGAAAATATCTGTGGAAATTTAATCCTCTTCCTTTTAATGAAGTCAATTAAAAAAAAAAGAAATAAAATACAATCGGTAGGTCTCTCTATCCCACAGAGTTAGTTAAATAATAATTATGTTTATAATTGGAGAAAGAATTTGTTTCGTTTAATATTATATACTAGTGGTTAAAATTCGAATATAATTTAATAAATTTTTATGTTTGTATATTTAGCATGCCGTATTTCAAAAAACTGCACATCATAATAAAAATATACTTACATAATAACGCTTTGCTGCTTTGAGATGTACTTCAGAAACTATTGAATAATTGGGTAGTAATTATTGGTTAGCAACATTTTATTTGGCGACAATCTTTACTCTGTGCGACTGTTTGACCACAAACTTTGTGTTATTGTATAATCACGTATAACACATTAGTGTTATACATGGTTATACAATATATAATATATTGTATAACCATGTATAACACGCCACGCCACAGTGTGTAGTAAGTACAAACTCACGCACTCACGCACGCACGCCACGCTCGCACGCACGCATGCACGTACGCACTGACCCACACACACACACACACAAACACGCGCGCGTTAATTTGATAAAATAAAGATTTTTGATTTTTTTTGTGGATCGATCTCAGACATTTAAAATCGAGATTCGACTTTTTCTGTTTAGGTAAAAATACAATTATATAAATATATATAATTAATTATTTTGATTATTATTATTTGGGGGTTATTGATAGAATATTCACATCTGGTTGGGCTGGATAAATATATAAAAGGAAATGATAAATATACATAAATATATATTTAATATACTAACATAAATAAATAAATAAATAAAAGTCCAACCAGATGGAAGCCCTCGGCAGGGGAGACCAAACGGCCGAGGGTTAGGGGGAAAGGTAAAGGAACCGGCGGACGAACCAGGTGGTATCGAGGAGCACCGTTTTCTACATTTGAGCCCGGAGCGGTCCGTCACGAAGTCCCAGTCGCCTATGATGACCCCAGAGGCTGACTGGGATTATAACCCATTCGCAGAGATGACTACAGGAATAATTTCGGTCGGCAGACCATTCCACATGTCGGTCACCTCGTGAGCTAGGTCCAGATATTTTGATTGCTTATCTGTTTCGGCTTTCACGAGGTTCTCGTCATACGGAATGGTAATATCGAGCAAAAATATCCTTGACTGTGCCCGGTCCATCAGCACAATATCAGGCTTATTCGCAAGAATAGTCCTGTCTGTGATGATGGCCCGGTTCCAGTAGCGCCTAGCGCGATCATTTTCGAGCACGGCTTCCGGCAAGTACTTGGAATACGGTATTTTCCGGTCCACGAGACCGTATTTCAGAGCGAGCTCCTGGTGTAGAATTCTGGCTACTAGATTGTGTCTGTGCAAGTACTCAGAGTCAAAAAGCGCCGAACAACCGGAGATGACATGCCTAAGCGTCTCACCGAGATGGCGACAAGCTCGACAGACGTCGACGGTGCCATCCTTTAGGATGTATCTCCGATAGTTGTTGGTCTTAATAATCTGATCCTGTATTGCACAGACAAAACTCTCGGTTTCCCCGAAGAGGTCACTGAAACGTAGCCAGTTGAGGGAGGTGACTGTATCTACGAAGGGCTCATGTAAAGCCCCGTAGTACCTCCCGTGGAGCTCCTTCTCCTTCCATACGGTCTCCCGGTCGGAAATGCTAAGCACTGCTGGGTCCTGCCATTGCTCGTTGGCTAAGGATAGAGGGGTAAACCCTAAGATTATTATTATTATTATGATTATGTTATATTATATATTGTTATGATTTTGTTCTAAGATAATAAATAAAAATACATGATTTTTTACTAATTTAATATTGTTAAAATCGAAAAACAGTGTTTACGTAACAAAATCATTTTTGTCCTTGGTTTAAATAGTTTTTTTTATTGTTTGGTATATTGAAGGGTAAGAATAAAATAGTTGTATAATTTTTAATGTAATTTATATTTATATTATAGAAAATACAGGTAATTTTTTATCCCAAAAATAAATAAAACTACGTACTCGTAAATTACAGTCACACTAAATCTGTACAGTCAAAACAAACTGAAATGGACCGTAACTTAAGGCCATAATTAAGACTTTTAAGAGTGCAGTTTTATTTGTATTATTACTAATTCTGTCATTCAATAAAAATAAAGAAAAATGAACTTTATTTCAAGCACGTTGAAGTCTTTGCTTCGTGGATTTGTACTGTGACCACAACGGGGTTCGACACCGCCGACACCTTTTACCAAGTGATAATAAGATAATCATGAGGTTCCGGGTTCATCCCTCGATCCCTGGTGGTTGTATTCTTAATTTTATTATTATTAATTTTTTGATTTATTACTTTTTAGTGATATTTCATGAATTTCTTTTAATTATTTTATTTAACATAGTTTTTCAAATTTGAAATTAGGTTTTTTGATCGTCCTTGGTTATTTATTTCCTTCCTAAATATAAATAATTGACAATAACATTAGTAATTAAGCGACCAACAGCAGACAAAACATTATTTTGCATTGTTTACGCACTGATGACGGTAGCGCTTGACTTTAGTAGTAAGCAAGGAAATTATGTACTACTCTCTAAGTAATAAGAATCAATATTTACAGGCGAGTTTACTTTAAGAAAAATACATAAATACGACAATTTCTTCCTTGCGCTTTGTTGTTTGCCATATTCCTATCGACCTATTTAGGTTCAACGAGTACAACCCAATCTTTTTTCTTGGCTCGGCCGCGGTTCACAGAAACACAGTGTACCCTGCCTAACGGAGCCATTGCGATCTTCTGATCTGATCTGATCTGTCCTATACAATATGTAACGTAATTAACGCACTTTGAGAAAGTAGTTTATTCAGAATCGTTTACTGAATCGATTCCTATCATTTCTATATAGGTAATTTTTTATCCCAAAAATAATTAAAACTACGTAAATTACAGTCACACTAAATCTATACAGTCAAAACAAACTGAAATGGACCGTAACTTAAGGAAATAAGACTTTTAAGAGTGCATCTTTATTTGTATTATTACTAATTCTGTCATTCAATGAAAATAAATAAAAATTAACTTTATTTCAACCACGTTAAAGTCTTTGCGTTCGTGGATTTGTACTGTGACCATAAAATTCTTCCGGAATTAGTATAACTAATTTGATAAATAATCGGTGCATAAAAATGTTTAACTATAAATTCAGTGTATGTATTATGATTATAACATTATATACTAATTGGGGTGTCTGACGGTGTGCGTTAATTACGTTACATATTGTATAGTGTATTATCTATAGATCTGATGTCCTATTGCCCTATGTAGTATGTCGACTGATGCGTGATAGAACATCAAAAACCCCACCAACCAAAAAAGAAGAATACTTGATTTAGCTATGTAAAAATCTGTTCAACGATTGACAATTTGTGATTTTACGCGCTGTGAACATGAGATACTGTTTGGATCAACTGTCTGCTCGCTTAAGCTGTCGTCAAAATCTCCTAAAAACTCAAAAGTGCAAAATGGAGAGTTTCTTGCACGAAAATATTATAAAAAATAATTTCCTATTATTTTGTACTGGCAAAAATACAACTGTACGAGTATATTGATATCTTCGTGTGTAAATGTATCTTACTTTCTTCGAATAAATCGCTCTTACGTGCTCATACAATACTAAAACATACATCCAAGTGGTCTTTATAATGGTATTAGGTGTGAAATTGATATTCAGGAAGGCTCGAGACCTTAAGTGCTTTCGTGATGTTATTTGTTTTTGTTTTGTAATTCTGTTCACTTCTCTGTGCTTAGTAAAGTCAACAAAAAAAACCCAAACGAAAACAAATAGGTATTAATTTATATTATAAATTCATTGAGTCAACTGTTCTTGAACGCGCTTTTTGGAAACAATATCTGTATAATCTGTGTTAAAAGTGATAGGTAGATTCGATTAACAGTTACCTTTTTTGCACAAATGCTAGTCAGTCAGAAAACTAACCTAGGATTCGCGGCGTAGTCAGGAACTCTGATCACTACGACACACGATCGTCAGCAGACATAATTTGAGGAAAAAAAGTACTGAAAATTTTGCTTAGATGGCAAACTTGAAACGCACTCTGGAATTAGAAAAGATATGATATGATATAACGACAATACAATAAAAATACTTACTTCGAGTTTTGTCGTAGGTCTGATCCACAATTCTCTCAATGTTTTCGGATTTGTGCGGAAGATAATCCGTGAAGCGATGTTCCGCAGTAATCACAAGCCCATTGCTCTGTGACAATTCCTGTAAAAATTTGTTATGGTAAGTAAAGCACTAGCAGAAGCAAAAAAACTGTATGTATATTTATAACCTATGATCGTTCTTATTCTCAGCACAGGACTCTTCTCATTTCTAAGAGAATATTTAGAATATGGAAGACCCCTGCGGCTCTCATGATAGTATCATGGACACCACAAAACCAAATAATGTGTACGTCACTATTTTTATGTACGTAATGATAATCAGTACCTTCGTGTCACACGCCCAGGCTTTAACTAATGCGTTTCGAGTGGTCGGCAAGTATACCTGTAATTTTACTCGAGGAGGTCTCTTACTAGATAACCACGTCTATGATAAAGTATGTATCTAATAAACAACAACCTCAGTAAAATTTGTTATCACAAACACACTGAGGACTAAGATCAAAACCTTCGTTTCCAGTGAAATGGGTCTCCGGTTCTCTACGGTTACGATACGAAACACTACAGCATTAAGCTGCTATTTTACACTGGTATTCTGTGAAAGCGTGGTCCTTAACTATTCGAGCCGTATCGTTGTAATATAGGTATTCGTAGTACGTGTGTAGTTACTAACTTTCTTTAAATTAAAAAAGAATATGTTTAATAATTATTTGTTTGAGTTTTATATCTATTATAATAATTGTATTATGACCCAAAATTTTATATAAGGAACCAAGTTTATTGTATAGTAAGTAACTAAAATTCCAACAGCATTTATAATATCATACTTATCATATAAATATACACGAAAGTGAAAAGATATCGTGTAACCAGTAACCGTAGGTTTTTTAAATATTATTTTAAATCACAATCTTAACCGTATAATTAAAAAAATATATATTTCATAAAATTTACGGGTGCCTCTATGGGTAATGCTGACACAGAATGACTCATCGACCACGTCCAAATGACTACAGATTCCTTGATACAACAGATCCCACCCGCAGAAATCTTAATATTTAGTGATTTTAACGCCCACCATGCCGAATGGCACGGTTCACGTTTAACCAATCATGCGGGAAAATCTGTTTATGACATTGCCTTGGCATTTGGTCTGACACAACTTGTTACTTCGTCTACGCAAACTATTTCTTCCATCATCTGTAGTACTTATCGTTGGAAAATCTCAGCTTTGGTTTGATTGCTCCTGTAAGACTGCATTGCGCAGTAAGGACGAGTGTTATAAACACTCCTTCCATCCTTAAAAATAAGTATAACTTCACCTTCAAGTACCTCAAAAGAGTTATTGCCAAGGCAAAGTATGAGCACATTGAAAGAATGGGTGAGAAATTAATACACCTTCCTTCGAAACCCCGTGCATTCTAGTCTCTCACCCAGGCTGTTCAAGGGAATTTCTGTAAGCCGTCACTTCAATCTCTGCACAGGGAGAACGACTCACTGAAAGTTTACTTTTAGACCCCCTTTCTTCGTCCAACTTGACTCTCGATGACGGGGGGAATGCCACGGTGTGAGTGGTTTAGGCCTGATGTGCGATTCACACAACGCTCAGTACGCAAAACACTCCCCTCCATGAGCATCCACAAGTCAAATGTGCCTGACGGAATCCCTCCAATTGTGTAGAGGACTTGTGCTTCAGAAATGGCACCGGTTCCAACCCGTCTTTTCCAGTACGTCTTCTCGGTATGCATAGTCCCAAATTCATGGAAGACAGCTTTCGTGCACCCAATCCCTATAAAAGGTAACCGCTCTGATCCGTCCAACTACAGGCCTATCGCCATCACCTACTTGTTTTCGAAAATAATGGAGTCCAATATTAACTGCCAGCTCGTGTTGTACCTAGAGGAGTACCTAGATGGAGTGACGACCTGGTAAGTCATGCAGAAAGTCGATGGCTACAGGTGATTCACGATCGTGCTTTGTGGCATTCCTTGGGGGAGGACTATGTTCAGCAGTGGACTTGTGAAGGGCTGTAATGATGATGATAATGATGATTGCTACCATTACGGACTTCGTAAACTGAGTTATTAGACGAAGTGACAATGAAAGTTTTTAGGATTTTACAGATTTTATTACGTTTAATTTTTGAATGTTAATTTCCGAACGAGTTAATGAAGTAACATGTTTGACGTCCTGATCTCATAGTTAACGAAGGCTGCCTTCGACTTTTAAATATTATTATTTGATTCGATCTACGCAGAACGAGCTTGCAGTATCTTGAAGTCTTGCAGTGGTATGCTTGGGCTTAGATTTAATTTTATTAAATATGGGAAGTTAAAGTTAGCCTTTGTTAACGTGCAAAAGTAAAGCACATGAAACGGGAATCAAAAGTTTAAATCAAAAGCGATTAAAACTGTAAAATTAGTTTCATTTAATGTATAGTATTCACGTAAATATAACAAATAATTAAGTTCAGAAGAAAATAATTTTAATGAGTCGCTTGTATTAAAAACACCGTAAACATTCTTCGTGTATGGCGGCGTAATAGAGTACACTAACCCATATCAATCTCTGTGTCATAAGCGACACGGGGAGATGAAACAGTAGATGGGAAACAGCATCTTCCAACACGCCTTCTCAGCGTGGCAACTATGGCAAATATTCTCCTCATCAGGCAATCTTTAGCAGTGGACTTTTGAAAGGCTGTAGCGATGATGATTAAAAACACAGAGCTAATGAAATAGACGATGCTAAAGTCCTGTCTCGCACATGATTATGTATATAAGTAATATATGGAAATCTGTTAGCGATACGGGTCAATTAAATGACAGAGACGAGGATAGATGTATGTAGATGTCTATGAGCCACAGTGACCAATTACCATCGGGTGGACTGTGTGCTCGTTTCTCACAGTAGTGACTATAAAAAAACGTCGCAGTGACAGTTTGATTAACCTTCGTGTGTTGATGATCTAGCTAACGATTCGCGAAAACGAATGCTCGTTGTCTATCATTAATTGTAGTGTGTGGTGTGCTTTGTTGCGTTAATCAATTAAGCTTGCTTTTTGATTCTTAATCAAGGCTAGTAGGTTGTAGTAGTTGGTAGTTCAAAATCAAAGATAATATCTTTCTAAATCAAGGTAAGGACCACAGCACATTAGGTGATCTGCGTGCTCATGAGCATTTCAGTGTATAAAACACTTGGTTTTATAGTGTATCTTTCGCATAAAATACTTACAGAATTTTTTTACTATTTTATACCATCAGTAGTACCTCCAATTTATTGAAGTCGGGTAAAATCAATGAGTACACAAAAAACAAAAGAAACACAGCTTTAATTACTTTTATGGCATCCATCTGCTGTCCCGCTGCGGTGCGCTCATCACCAGCCACTATAGCAAACTTGTTCCAGCCAAAAGCCTTCAGAAGCGCCACCACGGACTTGCTGACCTTGTGAGCTGGAGGTAGAGTTCTTGCGAATGTTGCTCCCAAGCCACCCGCTTCACCAGAACCATGAGCACCGGCGCATTTCTAAACAGAAACACAACACGTTTACAATATAAGTTTCTTCAATACAAGAGTGAATAGTGGTGGTCCCTGAAGGCAACTGAAGTGGTCCTCGAAGGCATTACATTATTCAATTCTCTCACTTCTAAAAGTGTACCACAGTTTAGATAATGATAATCGACGTGAAGATACTGCTGATACGGTTTGCAATACAAGTGCTTTATTAAATTTAAATTTCCGACGATTGAAATTTCAAGTGCTTTGGGTCACCTGCATTCACGTAAAATCTGAGGTCATTGACGTGATATCATGTTAATCTAAGCTAAGTTCCAATCTTTAGCTTTTAATTAGTATTATTTTTGTTTTGAATCTACGTGCAAAGAACTAATATTATCTTTAGGCCTTGCGGAATATTCACGGGTTTGATTTAAATGTTTACTATAGACGTCGAGACGTTAACCACGTCGGTCCCCCTGTGACAAGGAGTGAAAAGTACAATTGTTGAGAATTAAAAATAATTTGAAAAAAAAAATATTGCAATTATAATCTGTTAATTTAAGCCGAGGCAAGTGTGACATAAATTAATTAAAACAAAACATTACAAACAATCAAAAAGTGAATTCCGACTATTCACCTCGTCTAGGGTGGATAAACGAACACGCGTTCCCGAGTATCTACCCTAGGGTGGATAAACGGAACTACCCGACTTTTCACCGCATGGGCTAATTTATTATTTTATTTTTGACCGATATAGTGATGTGCCTATAAATGTATTGATGTCACACTTGCCCGGGATGTTTTGAAAGTGTAATAAAAACAATGCTAAGTGAAAAATAACTTTAATTTCAATAATAATTAAAACATTAACAATCAATAATAATATAATATAATCTTCGGAACTTGTATTATAATATTTTTCGTTGAATAAAAACATTATAAATATATTATTTGTTCAAAAGATTTTTAATGTCGATCGCGGCTTCAATATTGGTTCTGTGTGGATATCAAGTTGTATCGTAATAAATTATAATAAAAAAAAACTTAAATAACACGCTTTAATAGTAATTGAACTAAAAAAGTAGAAAATAATTTTTAACAAAAATTCAAATAAATTGAAAAAGCGTGGGTGCCTGATATGGAATGTGAAGATCATTTTATTAATTACTATATTCAATATCATATATATATATATATATATATATATACATGTGAAGCTAATAAAAGCGTGTTACAAATGTATGTTATTTTATTCTTTTTTTATTTCTTGACTTAAGGGGAAATATAACCTCAAATGCCTTAGCAAGATCCTCCGTTATGCCGAAAATATTGCAGCATTAAATTTGAAATAAATATATGGTAAAGTTGAGAATTAATGTTAAGGACTGTGTTAGACGAAAACACGATTCTGTATAATTTTCTCGATAGAAAAAAAATCCAAAGTTACCTCCAAAATAAACAATAAACCGCTGTTATTCATAAAATACTTTAAATAAGATCATGAAACTTTGCATACTAACTGAACTAACTATTTATAGTTAGTTCAGTTAAAAAGTAAATAACATAAGCACTGCTTTAGCAGTGCTTATGTTATTTACTTTTTTTAAATACCATTATTTTCACTGTAAAAAGAAATTACCTAAACTATCGGCTTCTTGAAGCTTGATTCCTGGCGCCCGGTCAGTTTCATTCGGTTTCGCTTCGGACTTTGAAGGGGGAGGTTGTATCGCTTACGATCAGAATACACATAACGCAACAGGACGACGTAAAATTAAAATGAGAAATAACCGTAATAAAAATAAGAAGCGACTAGGTTGGCGTTAAGAAACAGGCATAAATATGATAAACCTAATGAAATAAGTATCTAACGACCTATCTACTTGCAGTATTAGTGATTACAAACATGTCGGTACATAGCATACGACGCGCGGGGAAGTGGGGGCGAAATTAGAATTTTAGCTGACTTACTATATCCTCTTAAGGCGCTACCTCCAGCGAACGACCTTGAGCGTTTGGTCTGTCGACGCTCGCTACAATATATCGCGTAAGAAATCGCCAAAAGACGCCACCTACTGCTACGAACGTAGTATTAATTTTTCAATGTCAATGAACTCTTCTATGGAAATAGACACGGCGTACAATGATAAATGTATTTTAATTTTCTTTATTCGGTATATTAGTTGCATTATATTAATCGGATCGGAATTATGTATTCTAATATATTATCTAATTAATAAAAATGACTATTTTGATTATTTTTAACTATATACTATACTGCTAATATTGAATTAGCTTTTTATAGTGTAAATTATAATATTTGTCGAAATATTAATTATGGATTCGAACTTTACATGCTAATGGTGCTTCATTTTTGTTATTTTCATTTACTTACATATTGAAAATATACTTGAATAGTAGTCATTATTATTTTATTTAGCTACTGAATTTTAGGATATGTTTTACCTTGAGGTCAAATATAATTTTGAGGAGCAATAGTTATTACCTACTAATCTTTTATCTGCTATTCCTTATTTAGGAACAATATTAGTAAATTGAGTTTGAGGGAGATTTACTGTTTATAATGCTACATTTATTATTTTAATATTTACCTACTGGGTAGGTAATTATTAAAATAATAAATATAGCATTAGTAACTAAATAGAAATTTTTTTTAAATTTTTAAAATTAAAATTTTCGTATTTTTAAAAATTACTAAAAAAAAGGGTTTGAAATAATAGATTTTCTCACAAAAGAAGGGAACTTAAAAAAAAGGGAAAAAAAGCGGGACCAAAGCCAAGACGCCAACCACAACTCCGATATCACGCCCGACCGACATACCACCTGAGCTATAACGACCGTTAATGATTAGTCTAAATTTACCTTCTTATATTGTAGCAGTTTTTTTATTGCCTGAAAACATGGACAAAAGGACATTTTCTAAAAATAAATCCAAGCGTTCGTCGCTAAAATCGTTGGAGCCGTATAATTTTCTCATCTGATTCGGTTATATAAATATTTAAATATATAAAAGTTATAAATTAAAATGAAAAGATAAATATACATAAATATCAATAAAATAAAATAAATACAAAATAATATTATATTATTATTGTTATTATTATTATTATAAGTTGTGGTTCGGTGAAGCTGCAACCTAATGGACCATGATCTGAAATTTTTATGAAAAGAAGTGGCTGACGTCAATTATTATTATTCTTATTATTTTTTCATTACTGCCTTTTTCAACCTCACAAGATATTTGTAACTGCAAAAAAAAACTACGTATAAGTAAGTAAATCAGTAATATAGTGTTATGTATGACTCAGACTAAATAAAGGTTCCTAAAAATAGACGTAGATAAAGAAATTGCATAAAAAATTACTCAAATAAAAATACAATAAACTTGTTAATTTTATAGGTACTTAGTAAAATATTAAAATAATAAGTTTTTTAGGATATTTATGTAAAATATAAAGGTTATATTATGTTCTAACTACGTTCACGCTTGCGCATATAAAACCGCGGAATTTCGCTAGTTTTATTATCAAAATAATAATTGACAACCCTACCCTAAGTTTGCCTTGATTTTATGAACTCAAACTCGTTTTAAGAGATCAAAACATAGAGAGAAAGATAGGAGACTATTTTTTATTTAATATGGTTGGATCTTTATTTATTTGTATATTTTTTGTATTTATTTTATTTTATTGATATTTATGTATATTTATCTTTTCATTTTAATTTATATTTATAAAAACCAACCAGATGAGAAAACTATACAGACCCCCAACAATAATAATATAATAATAATAATATTCCACAACTATCACACAACGCCATCTAGTCCCAAGCTAAGCAGAGTTTGTGTTATGGGTACTAGACAACTGATAAACATACTTATATATTTCTAAATACATAAATATTATAGATAAATTACACCCAGACACAGAACAAATGATCGTGCTCATCACACAAACATTTGTCCTGGGTGGGAATCGAACCCACGACCTGCGGCATAGCAGTCAGGGTCACTAACCACTAGACCAACAGGCCTAACGATAAATAAAATGAAGTCTCTAGCTCGAGAGGAGAGGAGCCGTGGTAGCTCAGATGGTTAGCGCTTGCTAAAATTTTCACAGTGTGCGAGCAAACCGGGTTCGATCCCCGCCGGCACCAATAATATTGTAATTGCAATTTGAAGTGTTGATTTACCACGTGCTCAGTGGTGAAGGAAAACATTGTGAGGAAACCTGCATGTCTGAGAAATAAGAAAAATAATATTTCGAAGACATGCAAAGTTCGCCAACACGCAGTGGGGCAGCGCGGTGGATAATTCCTTTCCTAGGACCCTTTCAGAAAATAGAATAGAAATAAAAAAATAATAATAATAAATAATAAATAATAAATCTTTATTTCAGACCAGGGTCCATATTTGGTTAGTAGAAAAGAAAAAACAAAACAAAACGAAGAAAAAAAAATGAAAAAATCAATCAATAAAAGGAAAATAAATTAAAAATAAATCAAAATAAATTAAAATTAACTAAAATTAAATATAATTACTAACTACTACTAAGATTAACTAACTAACATTAAATACACACACGCTTGTTAGCATATGTGTGTGCACCATTCCAACTCCTCCAGAGTGGGCTGTCGAGTTTGCACGCCAAAGTGCTGAGAAGGGCATTGGTGCTGTTCACTAAACGGCCCATCATGGATGCAACACGTTTCCGGAAGATCGCGTAGAAGTCGTCTACACGAGCCTCCGCAAACATTGCAGATGCACTGCAGTGACGTGGCTTCCCCAATACCGCTCTCAGCACATTGTTGTACTGCACACGAAGAGTTCTGAAGGTCCGCTGCGTATAGTCCGCCCACAGACTGCACGTGTAAAAAGTCTGGCAGTAGGCTCTAAACAGCGTTAATTTTACCTCTGCATTACAACGCGCAAATCTGCGGGCCAACATATTGCCCCGGACCGACAGCGCCCTTCGCTCCCTCTCTATATCACCGTCGTCCACGAGGCG